CCCCCCCCCTCCGTTGGCCGCCCGCCGAGCGTGCAAGCATGCCCGCGCCTTTGGAGGCCGGACCTCGGTGTCCCAGCGGTCCCCTGCGCTGGCGGGTGGGGTCGAGCGTGCCCACCAGGGCCGGGCCCGCACGGCTTGCCATCAGGCCGGACCGCCATCGCGGGATCTGCCAGCTGGATGCCCCTTGTGTGTGAGCACGGGTGGGCCGCGGCCGGGCCGCGGCTGACGCGCCGACGCCGCTGCGCTGCTGCCGTTGCGCCGCCACCGCCGCCGCCACTGCCATCGTAAACGGCGCAGCCACCTGCACAATTCCCCGTAACCCGGGCCATCCCGGTCTCCCAGCATCTGGGCCCGTCCGACTTTCTTCGCAGGCTGAACGGGCACACCCGCCCGTGTGGCCTCGCGAGGATTGCGTGAGGTCCCCCGGCCACGGTGGTGCTCCCACCCTCCCACACATGCAGGGGACATGGACCGAGGGAACAAGGCGAACCGCGACGCCGCGCAGGGAAGAGATCTTCCCCCACCTCCAGACCACACCGCCGCCCTCACCCCCTACCTCCCTTCTCCTCCCCGCCCGGTGTTTTCCTCCCCTCCGTCGAGTCGCACATCTCCGTGCTACTCGTCCCCACCCACTCCCGCCCCCCCCCCCTGCCAACATGGACATTGTCGTGTTGCTCGGCGACGAGTACCTCCTGCGTCCTCTCCTCTATGAGCCGCTCATTGAGCTGACCGGCTTCACGCCGCTGGCGGACCAGCTTTACTTCCCCCGGCTGGCCTTCTCCACCTGGCTGCTGCTCACCCTCGGCGCCATCGTCATGTACCTGATCACCTCCACAATCTCGTATCTGATCTTCTTTGTCTGGCTCCGAGACAAGTACTACCCGGAAACGGCCGAGCAGCCCTTCCCGGGCCAGGAGAAGCTGTACGTCCTCGCCCTCGCTCTTGCCCTCGGTCGCGCTCCTCCTCCGCCCCCCCCCCCCCCCCCCCCCCCCCCCCCCCCGCCATCCTTGGGCCCCCTCTCACTGTGCCCCCCCCCCCCGTATGTGCATGTGTAAGTGCGTGTGTGGCGCAA